GCTGTTTTACCTTCAACACACACACACACACACACACACACACACACACACACACACACACACACACACACACACTTTGCATTTGATTTTGAAGCCTTCATATAAATTCTTCTACCTAGCTAACCAACTGTGTGTGTGATATAAGGAAGTAGCATGTGTGAAGAGATAGACCGAAGAAGTGACAGAGTGGAGGGGAGGAAAGGAGCCATCCCATCACCATTTTGCTCCATTTTCCCCTTTTCATGTAGTTGTTCTTTGTTAGCAGACATAGGCTGCTTTACTGACAAAAATGTTGTTTGCCGAGAGAAGACAGCAGTGGTCTGGAGGGATGCTTGGTGTCTTTTGAAGAAAAGGTGCACTTGTCTGTTAATGAATGCATTAAAAATAATTAACTAACATTAAAAGGCATGACTGACTAAGTAACGATGAACCAAAGATAAATTCATTACTACCATAATGAGAATTGAGCAAGTGTCTTTGTATCTGAAAGTCAAACATTTTTATCTTGTTTAGTAGAACACCCCACATGGGAAGCAAAACAAAACTATAACACTTACTTGGCTCTTAGCTTGAGCTGCAGATGTGCCATTTGTGTGGGCTTCTTTAAGCAAAACATTTAATACATTGACAGACTTGTGATAATTACATTAAGGCCTTCTTCACACTAATATGCTATATTCATACATTATAGATGCATGTAAATACTGTAGTTCAAAACTCATTCATTGTAATTAAACTAGTTTACACCATTATTTCAAAGCTGGAATGTTTAACACTGAGACCATGGAAGGCTGGGAAATTGGTAATTGAAAGGACCAGCCAAAGGTCACATCAGAACTGAGATTCACCGTTCTCTATTGCTTTAAAGCTATGCTGTGTGATAAGAACCTAAAAGTAGAAGAGATCTGATTGCTCAGCCACAAAACAACTACACAGATACCTGTCCATGCTCTGAGCCTTCTCTTAGTAGCCTTTCAACCTCCGCTTTTAGGTTATCACGTTCCATCTTGAGCTCCTCTACAGTAAGACTTGACTGGTTCACCAAAGTCTCCAGGACCTCCAAAACACGCACAATCTTGAACTGAAGATCAGCTACAATGTCCGATACCCCACGAGTCTCTTTAGTGATCTTCAGAAGATCTTGGCCTATCACATGGGAGATATCATACACATCTTCCACTGTCATTTGGAATGGGTCCTTCTCAAATGCCGATTCTGGCATTACATCTTCTGGTTCTGTTTCCATTGTCTTCGGGCTGTACACAATCTCTGTGACAAACAAAAGCAACAGTAAAAAAGTTCAGTTTAGTACAGACATTTACATATCCGAACACACAGACTCTGGGTCTACCTAATGTGTATTCCATGCCCAGTGCCAAAGCATCGGATCCTTTTTCCAAGAGATTTTATTTGCATACACAAAGTAAACTTAACACGTCCTGGTTTACATCAATAAGGTGGCTGTTGGTCAGCTGTATTTGTGGTCTAATGACACAACAAGCCTTTTGTTTAGGTGTTTCTCCTAATTCAATGTGCTCCTTATGGCAGATATGTTTGCACAATAGATTTAACAAGGACATTCTGAGGGTTCCACTCCTCACAAAAAATAAATAGTCTGGAATTTTTTTTAGCTATAATCACATGATAAGAGACAGACTGAAAATGACATTCTGCTAGCTAAAATGTAACAGTTGTACAAAGGCCTCCGATCTACAAACTATCCTCTGTGATGAGATGTGAAGGGAAAAAAAGTGTACAAAGGAAACACAAAAGGAATAAATGCATAATGTTTAAAGTGAGCTGTCAGCCAATTAAAAAATATATGGGGTTGATTTACTAAAGACGAACAAGCTGTTCACTTTGCAAGGGAAATTCCTTTAGTTTTTTCTTTTTTTTAAATAATATTTCTTTATTGTTTCTATATATAACAATACAGACATATAAACATGTAAACATCCTGTTAAAAGACTCTCCCAGGGAGAAATCCAATCAAAAACAGAAGAGAAAGATATTCATAACTTCTTCCTAAAACAGCCACCATAAATTTCCTTTCCCATTGGTATTAAAATTAGGGATGCACCGATACCAATACTAGTATCGATATCGGTGCCGATACCGAGTATTTGGGCGAGTACTCGTACTCGGCCACATGCTCCGATGCCTAGCACGATTACTTCCGGTATCAGGAAGCCGGGCAGCGCGTCATTACACAGTGTCAGCACCAATTCAGAGATGATTGGAGGATCTACAGCCGAGTGATACACAAATAAGATACATTGTTGTTACTAGTTGAGGTACTTGGATGCATTTTTAAGATTTAACTCTTGAGTTTAGTGTCACTTTAAATTGTTTGCCCAGCCACTATTATTTCTGTTTTGAATAGAGCGGGGAAGGATTATAACACGTGGACATCTGCTATCTTTAGCTCCCTTTAAGAGATATCTTCTCTCACTTCCTGTCCAGGTGACAAAGGTTTCCCCTAACAGGAAGTGATAGTAACTCTCCAAAAGCAACACATTAAAAAAAAATTTTTTTTTTTTCTCTAGTAAAGTTGTAAAATCAACTTTAGATTTACCAAAACTATGGCATATGAGGACTTACGTAATCGAATCTAACAATATGTATCTATTTACACCACATATTTGTTGGTAAATCTAGAGGAGATTGTACAATCTGATATTGTATTCGGTTTTCTTACCCTTCTGGGAGTGTCTTCCAGACAAAAGTGTTATAGCTCACTCTGCACCACACTAGATTTAGTAAACCTAAAGATCACCTTACATGTTACAATCTAACCATACAATCAAAGCTATGTACAATGAGGACCTACCTAACCTACCCAATCACTGTGTATCCAATCAGACAGGCTCTTGCACTACCAACATTTTAGCAGAGCTAAAAGGGATCGTACAATCAGATTGTAACGTGTGGTGAGTTTTACATTAATTGTACAGTGATTGCAATCACCTAGGGGAGTGATTCACACAGACTCTGATAGTGAGACATCCATAATGGTTCCCAGAGATGTCTGCAGGAGGTGTGGGGGGCTCCATAACAATGACACCCCACCTGTGCATATCTGTGGGACATAAAAAGACAAAGGTGAATGACACAAATGGCCAGCATCCACCAAACTCTTCAGCACCATTCGTCCTGACAGGATCGTATTCCTCCTCCCGGACAGAGTGGCCTTTCCTCATACAGGTCACTCCCTCACACTCAGCAGGTATCCACCTCTACAGACACAACAGTCCGGCTCCATGTAATTATATGCACTATGTATATTACGTACGGAGAACACTTCTCACCCGACAATGTCGCAACACAGGCGGCCCGCAGAACTCGTCCCCAGTTTTGTCACTTCCTCAAGTCACTTCTGAGTTGTTCTGCAACTCACTCAGCGCCTGTCACCATGGAGACGGCATTCCTTACACCCCTCCCTCCATCTGGACCTGCCCTCTTACACACAGCCAATCAACAACGACGGCGCACCTCTCGCGTGACGCGTTTCAAGCCTCGCTGTAAGCTATCCAATTAGTGTTACCTGACCAGTGAAGGTGGTTTTTTATTGGTGCGCGTCACTACAGCAGCGACTCAGCTTCAAGGTTCTGTTCTGTTGGCTGCTCTCGGTCCCTCCGGGAAACCTGCTGGTAGCTGTAAGTAGATATCTGTCTATAGAGTCAAATGGGGGTTATTTATATGGAGGAGGAGAGTGTTTTTAGTGCCTTCATATGAGCATAATAATTGCAGTATTTTTATTTTGTACAGGTCAGTGTTATTACACTACAATATAAAATTCACATAATGTTTATCTAATTATTTAGGGCTGGCTACGACTGAACCCAATGGGCCAGATAAACTCCAAATATTTGGCGTGCAGAAACCTGCTTTGATGGATGCACCAAATAATAGTTATTTTTAAAAGGTTTGTAATGAAAGACGCGACTAGTGCCGCAATTGTAAAAAAAATCCCAAGTGTGACTTTTTGCACAAAAAGTCTCTCAATCTGCGCCAAATAAATAATGGTTCAGAAAAGGAGTTTGTCAGGATTTGATGCAAAAGAGGTGTGTAGTGGTGTGCCATGATGATGATGGGGCAAGACAGTTACACATTCTTCAAATACGCGATATGCACTGCCACTAAATGCATTGGCATGACACATGTCACTATTCCTCAGTGACCGCCAATCTTAGTTTATCTGGCCCAATGTATTTATTGCTGTCTATAGAAAACAATTCTAGTATACACTGCGCTACCTGCACCGCAGATTATTTTGCATGATATATTAGTCACAAACCATACTGCTTGGTATATGCAGCAGTGAAATGGAATGACCTGCTTTGGTTTTCTATATACTGATGCAACAATTCATGTGATTGGCAGATACAATATCAAAGTGTGTCAGTGAAGATGATGATCCTCCGCTGTGTAGTATGTCTTGCCACAGTTTGTTTTATGGTTTTTAAATTCTTACCCTCCTGCTAGTATCTGCTATACAAAGGAGACAGGTAAGTGTTCTAACACCACACTGATGTGAGATCAGATCCAAACATTAGTCCCGGTCACAACTCATCAGAATACACTTGATGCACATGGACTCACACGCAGACTCCTCCAATGGTGTACTTAGGAAGTAATTCACTGGCAACTCTGGAGATGCATGAAAAGAGACCAGCACTATAGATCTGAGTGTATCATTGAAGTCCATTTACTCAGGTTAACTGTCGCCAGCATCACAATGACCTGTTTTGGTTTCTTTTTTACCTCACCTTTACCTGGACATTGTGGCAAGCTGCCGTGCGTTGCAGTCATTATACAGTTTGTTGAGGTGCCATTGATAATAAATGGCACTGTACATAGAGACGTGTAACTGTTAATGAGTCCTAAGGGGTACAAGGATAACAAGTACAAACACATGGGGCTGTGAGATACATATTTTATCTATGGAATGGTCCTAGAGGGATAAAGGGTCAGAGTTAACCTATCCTTGTGCTGCCATTAAGTTTGCAGGCAAAAAAAATTGTTCACTTAATAGCCAGCTCAGGCTAGTGTGTGTGTGTGTGTGTGTGGTTTTTTTTTTCTTCCATAAAAAAGGTTAAAAAAAATGCAGCCCAGGCTGTAATACTCCTCTCCAGCTCTGTCCCACCACATTAATTCCTTTCCAACATTAGATGTCCTCAGTCTTCCTGAAGACTAAGGACATTATTGTGAGTGCAGGGTATCATGGAGCTGCCCCTGGACAATATCGATTGTAGGGTATCCTGGAGCTACCCCCTAAGGTGATGTCACCATGCCGCCCTGCACCCTTGGTGTAATAATGCATCGCATCAGTGCCAATTTCACTGTCATTCTGGGCCACAATTTACCAGGGGAAAAGGACCCTTCACATCTCCTGACCAGCTTGAATACATCTGGAAAAGGTAAGTATTAATAGAAACTAGACATGCATGCAGGAGGCATCCAGGGGTGATGATTGGGAGACAGAGACCAGAGTTGGCCTTTAACACCTTGAATGAGCAAAGTATGGGTTCAAATGCTAGAAATGTGCACAACTGATAGCTGGGGAATTTTGTATTGTGCAGCTGCTGTGAATGGCCCCTGCCACACTCACTTCCCTTGTTAGGTATGAAGTGACTAAGCCCCTGTCATTTTGTCCTTTACCAGAGACAGCGCTCACTCCCTGGTGGTTTAATTATGTTATTATCCATTGCTACTAAAAATTAACTTTCTTGTGCCTTTGTGTTTTTTGTTGTCTGTTTTTCATACATTGTCTTCTCTCTCTAGAAAATGAATGATTGGACCCCTATTGCAAAGGATTATGACCCTCTTAAGGCTGGCAGCATTGATGGCACAGATGAAGAGCCGCATGACCGTGCTGTCCTTAGAGCCATGTTGGCTCGTTATGTGCCTAATAAAGGTGTTGTTGGAGACCCCCAATTAACGTTATTTGTAGCCAGATTAAGCCAAATAACAACAGAGGAAAAACTAAAAGAATTTTTCTCTCGTTATGGAGACATACAGAGGATCCGACTGGTCAGAGACATCATTACTGGGTTTTCCAAAGGCTATGCTTTCATTGAGTATAAACAAGAGAGCGCCATCAAGAAAGCCTACAGAGATGCCAACAAACTGGTAATTGATCAGCATGAAATCTTTGTAGATTATGAACTAGAAAGGGTGCTGAAAGGATGGATTCCACGTCGACTAGGTGGGGGGTTTGGTGGTAAAAAAGAATCTGGGCAATTGAGATTTGGAGGACGTGACAGGCCATTCAGGAAACCAATTCACTTGCCAATGTTTTCGATGAATGCTCGTGCTGAAGGGCATGTTGATAAAAGACCCAGATCTCGATCTAGAGAAAGATTCCAAGAGTGGAGAGAGAAGAAAACTGATTATTCACGGGACAGAGGAAGTGATCGAAGGTGGCATGATCGATCACAGAACCGACATAAGAATGAACAGACTGAAGAGAGACATTACAAAGTCGAACGGAGCAGAGATCGGGAGAGAGGAGAAAAAGCCAGACGAAGATCGGACAACAAAAGGGACAGAAGTAAAGAAAGAGACTTCAGGAAATAGTGCACAGTGACAGTTGTTTTATTTTTATTTTTTTTGCATTGGAGCCAGTAAAGCATTACAAACACGATCAGTGGATTGTGGGGTGTAAGGCTCTGCCTCCTGCAGACTTTTACAGCCACCCCTCGCTGTACTGAGGTATGCACATTCAGTAACAAGTTGTCACCGCACCTATATTCCATTGAGAATCACAAGTCTCTCTACAGCAGTGGCAGAGGGACTTGTAGTTTCTCCATTCACAGATTACTGTCTTGGATCTGTTATGGAATTTCTGCTTTTGTCATTGGAGCACATGCTCAACGAAAATCTGTCCTTTGAGTTAGGTATGACAGATTTGCTCCAACGGATACCTAAACTGAGGCAGCCACTGCTGAACTCCAAGAGTGCTATTGACTTGCCGGTTTTTGTCTTTAGTAGTCTCCAAATTAGGAACCTGGAACATGCATGAAGATAAAAAGTCTCTTGATCTGCATACTTGTTCCAAGTCTGTTGCTTAGAAAGTATTAAAGCCACTGGATCAGCATGACTGGCAACTAACATTTTCAGAAGGGTAGGTCAGCAATGGCAGCTCTCATGTTTTCTCAGTACAGAATTACTATAGTTCCATGAAAAAGAAGTGAGACACAAAATGTAAGTGATTATTTCAGCTGACTAAATGGCATATCTGAAATGTAAGATTTAGTGCATAGCCTTTCATCGTTATAAAGGTTGTTTGGTTTATAATAATCTGTGACCCAGTCACACTGGGCTGTGTAAATGAACACCGCTGATCACTACTAAAGTGATGTTCCAAATTCTTTATCGATTTCTGCTGTAATTAACAAACACAACTGTGAACAGTTTTGGGCTTTTCAAATATTAACATGTACAGGGAAGCAATTTTAAATGCTGCACATTTCCTTACTGAAAATTAGAGTGAACTTGATAGCAGATAAACAGAAGACCAGCTCACAATGGGGTTCAATAGAGGCCACTTTACCTCGGTCGTTAGATTTAACTTCTAATTTTATTTAACATTGTTTAAAGAATCACTTACCTGACACTGCAGCCTCTACTGCCCTCTGATAAGAGATCAGCAGTGAGTCACTTTCACCGGGCGGTAGAGCTGCAGCTGCGATACTGCCACCTCCTGAATGTCGTTTTTATTTTTGAATGGATCTCATTGGGGAATTTTCATTGAACTACTGTGTGCCAAACACTGCGGCGTGGTCTTATCACCTCTATGGTTGTGTTTTGCAGACAGCACTCCCTGGAAGACGCAACAGGCTGCATAGTTCTTGCCGCGTCACGAAGCACATCACTGCAGCCGCAGTAATGTATACTGCACTGCCCAGACCCGATGCTAACATTGCAGTGGGCGGCTGGAAAATAGTAAAACTGCCGGTCTTTACTGCTTCTTAGCCACCTGTCTGAACAAGGCCTTACTGTTAATTTTTATCACGTTAAGTCGTTTATTTCTTTCTAAAAGTAAACTAATATTGTTTTTACCATTATATTTTACAAGAAAAAAAAAAATAACATAAGGGTGTGCCAATGACTTTAATATCACAGCGCATTATGGGTCTAAGGCCTCATTCACACTGGGCATACATGCTTGTAAACAGTCAATCCCGGGACAGGTGCTGTGTGTGATTTGCGTGCAGCAGCCTTTTCTTTCCTATGGGAGGATGCAGCTGTACGGTGTCATATGGACACCCGAACTGCACGTCCTTGTGGTTACGAGTGTCCGCACTTGGATGCAGACAGGATCCATCCTGTCTGCGCCCAAGTGTGGACACCCGTGCCCTAACGGATGACAGCGTACAGCCGCGTCCTCCCGTAGGGAAGAACAGGCTGCTGCATGCAATCACATTCAGCACCTGTGCCTCCCGGGAATGGCTGTTTACGGGTGTGTACGCCCAGTGTGAATGAGGCCTTATAAAGGATGGGAAAGCAGAGGTAAGAGTCACACCTGATTCATTGGGGTTGATTTACTAACCTTATAAACACACCACGAACATGTATACACCTCTGTAGTGTGTTCCCTCCCAGCATGATCTATGGGTGGAATCTAAACACCTTTGTAGTGTGTACACACCCAGCAGGTGTGTTGTGCAAAGCCAAGCATGAATTGCAAGGTGATGTTGTGTAAATTAGCTCTATGTTGTGTTGCTTGCGTTGATGAATGCAGGAATGTAAATGCATGAGCTAACCATTTTTGTCTAAACTGTGAAGCAGCATTATATATGCATCATGTGCATGATTTTTCCATATATGGCATTAGTGGAAATATGCTTTTAGAGACTTTTTGGTTAATAAATATGTTTTGCTGTGTGAAAATCACACGCACTTAGTGCGTGCGTGTGTTTAGGTTAGTAAATCACCCCCATTGAGTTCTCTGTGTAAATAACAGTTTGCCCTGGATCAGCTAAGTATAGACAGGTGCACATGTTAAAAGGAGATTAAAGCCCCATTTGCTGGCTGAGAATACAAATATGAGGTAGTTATATGCAATATTATTATACAGGATTTATATAGCGCCAACAGTTTGTGCAGCACTTTACAATATAAGGAAGACATTACAATCACAATTCAAGACAAGATGGTAAGGAGGGCCCTGCCCCTGAGCGCTTACAATCTAAAAGGGAGGGAGAGGTGTGTATGGAGGTAGCTGTGTGGGGATGAATTGTTTGAGAACATGATGGTTCAGTGGTTAGGTTGAGGTGAATATATATCCATATATCACATTTACCTAACAAAAGGTGTTTTTGAAAACTTTATTTCAAGAAGGGTTTGGGCTTAAAACACCAGTTCATAGGATGGGGATTGGAAATTCCACAAATATGTAATACAGTCGAAATTTGTTTTCACTCCTATTTGCCATGTTAAAAAAACAAAGTATTTTTTTAATCTTAGCATAAAAGAAGAAATGTCCAAAATAAACTGTGTTTGTCACGGTCGCAAATGCAACACACTTTGGCATCAGTCATAAAATTATTTTATTTCACATTACAAGTTATAACCAAAATAATCAAATTCATATAACATGCTTGTTTACAAATTCATGGGAAGACTAGTGGTTAAAGGATTATGGCTTTTCATGTACTATGTTGGATGTGCAGCCTGTGATTGAAAATAGTAGCCAAAGAATGTGAAGTTTTTGTATTTAAATAAGCCATCGTCATATATAAATAAATGTAACCTCACTCCGAATCAAAGTAAACAGAAATGCAGCAATAGAGTGGAACAGAACTACGTGATTTGCTGCCAACATCCCTTTTATTAGTTCTTTCACTTCAAATATACAATAAACAACCTAAACCATAAAAACATACCTGTCAGGAGAGATCTATTGGGGATACCATTGCTGACCTCCACTGAAAAATGCAGGTTGCCTGGCTGTCAATTTTTTTTAAATCACTGACTCATAACAAGCATGCAGCAAATTCATCTGAATTCCTAATCTTTATACGTGTGTGGTGACTCAGTGAATCCAAAGCATTAGCATAACCTTTCAGATTGCAAGCTCTTGCTGGCAGGGCCCTCCTTAGCATCTGGTTTTGAATTGTATTGTAACGGTAATGTCTTCCTTTATATTGTAAAGTTCTGCACAAACTGTTGCCACTATATACATTCTGTATAATAATAACAGCCAGGCAGCTAGCATTTTACAGACCCCTGCATTATGTCAATGGAAACTAAAAACTCTCCCATTTGAAGAAAGCCGACAACCGACCGAATGGATTTCATCCTGAAATATTGAACCCGGACAAACGCATTTTAAATCCAGAATTGGACTGAGATCTCTGAGAGGTCAGGGGAGAGGTCAGAACTGGCAACCAACATTTCCCTTCATAACAAGTTCTGTTTTGTAGGGGATGATCCCAGTGCATTGTAGCACCATATAGAATACAGTGGTTGTGTTATGTACATTGAAGAAACACATAGCAGACATAAAAATGTTCACAATCCAAAAGCTTAGTTGTTTTATGGTACGTTAATATTCAAACTATAATGTGGTAATACTGTTAATCCCCCATCCCAACGTGTCCTTTACCTTGCATATCTTCCTTAGGCACAATGAACAAGATGGCTGCTCTCGTTCCCTTATATGTCAGCAATGGGTGTACTTTGCTCTGCCATATGCCTCTGAGAACACATGACGGGAAAGGATTTTCTTTGAGGATAAAGCACACATCCTTTAGTGTATACACAAACAGAAATTCATTGGGAAAATTGGGAGCGGCTTGGGTCCTGGGTCCAAGGGGGCTCATAATAAATCAGCAATTGTGTGCCATTATAACTTATGATTACTACAAAGATTTCAGATTTTCCTTCTTTAGACTATCTCAGGAGCAGAGAAAAATGATTTGTGATTGGCTGATATGGATTTCTGCATTGCTGTAACAAGAAGGCAACTGCAAAGTATCCCCCATAAGTATATGACCTTTGTAGGAACAGACAACACCCTTTATTTAAAAAAAAACCATCAAAATGTGCAAATCATCCCATCAAGAAATGCCAAGTTTGGAATATTGGACAATCCCTGAAATTCATAAGGAGTATTGTAGAAGTCTGTCTCCTGGTAGTGTGACAAACGATGGAACTTGCAACAAATTTATGTATGTGTCAGTAACAAAGGGGTGGAGAAATTATGATCAAATTCAGGAGCTAGTTTGTCCAATCGTGGAGCCAGCAGGATTTTTTTTTTTTTAAGAGCCAGCTCCATTGACAACAACTAGCGAAAACCTCAAAAGTTAGGCACTGGCTGTCATTTTGTAAAAGGTATCTGTGGTCAAAACTAAAAAGAAATATGTATTGCTATATTGAATTTCCATACGGTCTATCCCACTACAAATAGCTACAGTATGTTGATCTAGAAGTTTGTAAACGTACTTATTGAAGGTGCCCAAAGGATGTGCTTCTTCAATGTACGGACACAATTTCAGCCAGCTCTGTGAATCTGCACTTCCATGTGTCACAACTCGCAAAGCCTGCCTTCTGAACTTCAACTCAACGATATAACATTATCAATGCTTGCTGGAAGCAATGCATGATGGGCTAAGTAGTCTTGAGAAATGAAGATTGCATTACATCAAGCAGCAGGGAAGGAGATGCAAAGCACAATGGGAATCCAGGAAGTTATTGAAAGTGATGGGCAGTCAAAAGGCAGCATTTTCAGCTTTTAAGCTTTGATTGCATTATTAAAAACAATTCTAGTATGTATTCCTATTACAATGCTGATGTTGTAACATGATAGTAACATGATAGTATATGCTGGGACTCCTTGAATGAGCATTGGCTAACTGGCTCCTGGGAATTGTCCAGCCCTGTGCGAAGTTTCATATTAATCTTCAGCAACTGACAAAACTGCCCCAATCATCTTTCCTGCGAAGTGACGGAGTTATACAGGCAGAGGAGTAGGTATGCACCGATACCGGTTTTTAGGTTCCCGAGTACCGATATTTTGCTTTCACTACTCTCCGATACCGGGTGCCAGTGCTTCCGCTGGCTTTCCGGGCATCAGGAAGCTGGGCGGCAGGTAATAACATGCCACCCGGCTTCCTGATTGCCCGTGAAGCTGGCTCCATGTTTGGCCGACTCGATTGTGATTGGCTGGGAAGCCAGTTTCCCGGCCAATCAGTATCGAGCCTGCTTCCCGGCCAATAAGGAAGTCGGGCAGTGAGTAATGACCGGCCTCCCAGCTTCCTGATTGCCCAAGAAGCCGGCTCCATGTTCCCCTCAGCACTGCCTGTCAGAGGAAAACTTCCTCTGACCAGACGTTTCTGGTATCGGGGGTTAGTATCGGAGTTGTTGGGCAAGTACACACCCAAATACTCAATAACTGCACTGATACTGGTATCGGTGCATCCCTACAGAGAAGCTATCTAGAGAAGTTGGGAGAGTAATGAAAATGTATTCAAAATCAATTCCAGTGGAACTTCGAGACAAATTTGGTCACAGAAATGCCTCAAAGATGTGACACAACCAACAATTTGTCCCAACTTACTTACCACCTATTACAAATATGGCAGTATTTATGATTTATCAAAACAATAGCGCAATACAATGTTGCAAAAAACAACTACCTGAATTTGTTGCATGTGCTGGTGCTAACAGTGAAAATGTGGCAAGGTTTTCATGAATTTGGTGCAAGTCTTCTGACTGCATACATACACATCAGAAGCGTCTTGCCAATGTCTTTTTGAATCACCCCAATATATTTTTTGAGCTGGCTTGTTGTGTTTATTACCTACACCAGCTTCCATTGTATTTGAACTGGTTCATTTGAATACTAATGTGTGCCTTTTCAGATCAGTAATATCTCTATATAGGTTTCAGCCTGGAAATATGATTACATCAGCCATGTAAAACAAAAGAAATGTGAGCCGCCATGCCTTTGCCACAGAAGCCCCCGCTCTGCTAAAAAGCTTTTCATACATTGGCATTATTATTATTTTAGCTTTCTGTGAAACAGAACTGGACCACTGCAATTACTTTTAAATGCATTGTAAAAGTGATTGTGCTTCTTTACAACATTTTGTATCATGGGAAATTCTTACTGCAAATTGTTTCATTACAGACTTGGCTAAATAACCCCGGGAATTTAGGTGCTTGTTTTGTCTTGGGGGCTCAAAGAAAGTAGATATACTGATCTGATCCTTGGTTGCGCCGGGCTGATAGACCAGTCCTCGCAGCCGCTTCTTTTCTGGCTCCGGAGGTTTATTGACTACTGATGTCATCACATCTAAAGCAGGTCCATTGCTTGCATTAGGGCTCATTCAGATGGGCATACAAGTCTGTATGGCATTCAGGTCTGTAAAACCCCATCCCGGTAGGGACAAGTGCTACGCAGCAGCCTGTTCTTGTCAAAGGGAGGACGCGTCTGTCCAAGTGCAGACACCCGGACCTGCATGTATGTGCGCACGACAGCGTGTAATTGCGTGCATAGGGAAGAACAGGCTGCTGGGATTGTGTCTTTTTAACGGCGTGTACAGGCAATGTCTTTAGGCCGTAAAGATGTGTACACCCATCTGAATCAGCCCTTAGATATGAAGATGCCTTAGGTATGAAGACGCCAAGGAAAATTCTACAGCCGGATCAGAAGGCGAGAGAGGTGAGCACTGACTGCATGGAAGCTGGGATCAGGCTAGTAAAGCAGCTTTATTTGAGCCCCTAGACAATACGAGCCCTTAAACCAGAGTTCTTCTTTAAGTAGAAAGCAATGTTTAGTGGTGAGAATGGAAGGTAGATAAGAGGGGGTTACTGCATAGACCAATCTGAGGAGTGTATTAATAATCCTAAATAAGCACATCTTATTTGTGATGCCCAATTTTCTTTCTTTCTTTTTTTGGTAATGCATAGTAGTAGGTTAATAGCTTTTCAGGACCTCTAAGGCACTGTGTTTTTTGGCAAATATATTTAGAATTGTTCCCTTAGAGAACTGACTACATACAAACAGGCAGCTGTTTTGTGGTCTGGGCAGTGTAACAAGGCATAAGGTATAGCCATTGGTAAGAATGTAGATTCTTGACACAATAATGATGACATCACTCTGGTATAAGACAGGGTACACTCTGAAGCCTAAGCCAGGCCTTACCCACCACCTTTAGTCAAAACTCAGTTCCTCTGTTACTGCTTCTCAGCTAGGACTCTGGTTAGAGAGACATCATTGGGATGCCCAAGTCGTTATTATTCCATTGCCGAGAATGCAGCAGAAAGGGTAAGTCCCCTTGAATGGTACCATACTGACCATTTGGGGAAGGGGGGGGGGGCAGAATTGGAGTCCCATGAGATACAAGAATCCAGTGGGAATTTTAACCCCCCCTATAGTCCGATAAACATTGAAATATCTCTGCTGGGTTGGACAGTCATTGGAGAAAAAAAAGCCACCCAGAAGACTGGCAATCCATTTCTTTCACTTTTCTTCTCCTGCTATCCACCTGCAATTGCTCTTTTTTGTTGTTGTTGTTGTCTTCTTTAGCTCTTGGCAAATGTGCAGTATGTCTTGTGTGAAGTTCACAAAGTAAAATGCTTTTAGGCAGGCAGCGCAACAAAGAAAATGTCATCAGCTGTTCAGTGTGCAATGTTGAGCCTCCGGTTCATTCACATGTGCTGTAACGCCTCTTGTCCTTGTTCTGTGTAACCATCATCTCTGTTGAAATCTGACCAGACACCAAAGGATTCCTGGAAGGTGGCATTTCTCTGTGATAGGGGCATCCGTTTTTTATCCCTGGAGAAAAAACTAAATCTATGGAGAAAAAGCAAAATGTCACATGTACACTTCATTGCTTCAACAATCGCTCCCCAAACACAACTGCAACCAAAACAAACACAACAATGTCCTTATTTAACAGGCAGTGTGCAAATGTTGAAAACACACAAATCGATCACAAATTCCATAAATTAGGTTAGAGCGCTCACCAATGGAACCTAGCTGGTCCCTATCAATTACTGTGCTTTGCCTTTTTTCCTTTACAGTGATCCCAGAGTCACACATTGTGGATAAATACCATTTCTAAAATACACTGTTTACATGTAATAAGCTTAAGAAGCTTCACTCAGCTTTGTATGACTAACTTAGTCACTTTAGTAGCCTCAGGGCCGGATTAACATAGGGGCTAGTGGAGCTCCAGCTCCAGGCCCACCACTGAAAAAAGGCACATCTGGCCCAGATCGTCTTGGTATGCCCCATGGCAATCCGGATCAGCCGGGCTTCACACAATCAGGCACCTGAAGTGACGCAGTCCAGTATTCTTATGAGGTCCAGAAGAAATTATAGAACACCGGCAGCTCTCCTATCAGGCATATTAGATGGCGATCGCTGGGGCCTCGTGGAGCCTCAGTGAGGAGTGAGCAGCTGCCTGATTAGGGAGCCGCTTCTGCTTCTTCCCATCTGACAGCACCAGGCCCATGATGCTCTTAATCAAACCCTGACTAGTCCATGTAGAAAATTAATGCCCAGCAACATTGTCACATTGTAAAACACACACACAGCCTGTGCCAATGTGTGGCCGGGGGGTCAGGGGACAGAAAAGTACTGGGCATTTTTTACCTTAATCCTTAATGCAGAGAATGCACTAAGGTAAAAAAAAAATGCTCTGCTTTTATTACTACTTTAAGGCATGCTCTAGACTTGTTTAAAGGACTTCAGTATAATATTATACTTACCTATAACATTGCTCTTTTGAGATTTTTGCTCTCCAGCCGGCCTGGTGCTACACAACCTCTGCCAGACGTTATTAAAAGTAGGGATGCACCAATATCGGATTCTCGGTATCGAGTACTAATATTTTTTTATCGCTACTCGCCGATACCGAATACTGATACTGGCATCCTGAGGTAGCGTGGGCCCGGCTTCTCGGCCCATCAGACCCGCCGCACGGCTTCCTGATTGCCGGGTTCATACTCCCATGTAACACTGTGGGGCAGCCTGGCTTCCTGACTAATTAGGAAGCCATCTATCGGTGCATCCCTTAAAAGGCTAACACAGGGTGCATTGCCAGTCCATTCAAAATGACAGGGTTGTAATGCATGTTAATACACAATGTAGCCTGATACCACGGATGTGTGAACCTGGCCTTAGAATTCCACTACATTACAAATGAATGCACATATTCAATATTTTCTTAGGCAGGAGACTTTGTCGGTTATATTTTGGGCGAATAGGTTGTTCCTTAGCTTAGAGAATGAGATGAAGCTCTGCTGACTTCCAGCATCCAATCATGTGAAAGAAAAATAACTGTTTTCATTTTCCTTCCACACGATTGGGTATTTTTGGCAAAGTGACTTCTCACCACAATCACACAGCAAGGAAAAAATTCCCTTTCAAACTTAATTGCCTTTAGCGAATCAACCACTATGTGAATAACATAAAACTTGTGGTGGGAGAATTGATAGGAAACATAATTTTTTACATTTTTACCTTTCTTTCTATATAAAACCTTGGTAATAAAGCAAAATGTATGCATATCTGATACTAAATTAAAGCCCCATCTGCCCTAAAAAACAATGTATACATTTGTTAGGGTAGACTACACAGTTAAACAGACATGTCGGAAATGTAATAAAAAATACTTTCCAATTTAAGGGTGGTAAGAGAGGAAAAGACCCTGGGGCTGAAGTGGTTATGACAAGGGCAGCATCAATGGTGTCTGCAAGCTTCAAGCCATAGCAGGAACATAACTACTTTGTCGAAATCAAGTTTGTTTTGACTCAAAGATATTGTTATGCGTTTGAACATGTCTACAGGTTCAACCACAATGTTATGTCCATAGCCAGTTAATTAAGGTTACTTCACCTGACTTGATGCTTCAGTAAGGCAGGATGCAATGCCTGCTTAAATGTTTTCCCAAATTTTTTACCGACTTTTGTGAAAGTGGAACTGAAGCCAAAAAAGGAAGGAAGGGTTATAACCCCTGTCAGCAGTGTCCCACTGGGTACATTTCCTTTCACTCCCTGTCTGATAGCCACAACAGGATGTGAGAGGAAATCCCTCCAAAGAGAGAGATATTCCTTGTGGTCAGCAGGATCTCCAGAACTAGTGTCCCCATTGGAATATTTCCCCTCTATTCCTGTTCTGGTGACAACTCAAAATTTGGGACAAATACCAGGACAAATAGAGAGGGTGAATCTCTTTAATGGGGACACAGATAGCAATAAAAACCTGACAGGTTTTCTAATCCCTCTCCACTCTACCCAAAACTAAAATAAAAGTTTTGGCTTCAGTTGCACGTAAAGCTCCAATACCGTTAGGTGCAGTGCAGAACTGATCTTTATGAGAAAATAGTGTATTAAGACGAGGGACACGGAATGGCTATTCTGATTGGCAACAAAATGCAATGTAAAACACTTTCTTTTTAACAATCCCACAATCAGCCAATCCGAATGCCATCAGCAGCACTCATGACAGCACATGCCCACAACATGCAAAAAAAAACAAAAACTCCAACACACAGCAATACAAAGGCAATGAAGATGAATCCTACAAGAGAGATAAGCCTGCTGATTGGCTGCAAAGTGGGATCATCAGCAATCAACCCAGCTGCTACCATTGGCATAATGGCAGTAAACATCCTGATGGAAAGACATAAATAGACATGACAGCAATTAACATACGAAATGGAATTATATAAATAAATATAGGTGTATATGTGTATTTATTTATCAGAATGCTAAACAAACTAAACACACTGCTCCCATCAGTTGCATGGTATCTTGTATGTACAACCTGCCATTAGCAGACAACATACAAGTTATGACCACATTCATTATAATACAGCAAGATGAGGTGGCTTGGACATCAACTAAACTTAAAAGCAATGAAAATGAGAACATATCAGCAGTTTGTAGTAAGAGAGAAAATAAATCTTGTATACAAAACCATGTTTTTGTCACAGTGATCTCATTGTATAATTGTTATACAGAATTGCAAAATCTAGTAGAGTAACTGATGTTGATAAGCTGATGACTAAGGTAGTGCCATTTGATAAGAGATCAGTCACTCATCTCACTAATTCCCTAAGGGGCCTGTTTGTAAACAATGCACAGGGCCCTCTGCCCTGTGAATATCTAAGTATTTGTTTTGGACAAATAATGCCAAAAACAAATGTTCTTAATATATTTTTTCTAGTTCAAATGGATTGTCATGTAATACTACAATTTAAAGTGTTGCCAACAGTATCAAACAATTTCCAGGAATGCTTTGCTGGTGGGCTGTTATTATCAAACTAGCAGGCCCAATGCTGTCTCAGTCTACAACCATGTATTTCCTGAATATTCTGTATGTTTATAAAACTGAAAAATAAATACTGTTATTTTTTTTTCTATTGTGTTGTCCTTCTCAAAAAAATGCCTCACATGTTACAAAGAAAGGAAATAATTGAATTTACAGCAAAGGGATTTTCCAGGGACATCTGTCAACTATGCAATCCTGTATCAACAATGCATCCAATTTGAATGTCAACAATCTGCTTTAAAGTGCTATAGCCATTTATGTGTATGGTTATAGGTAAAGCCCTTCAGTGGACAGGCACACCTAAGTGATGACCTCAATGCATTTATGGGATTTATGGACTACAAACACAGCAAAAATGTAAAATGAATCCAAAACTGACATTTGTGTTTTTGGTAGATGCTGAAGAGGCAAACCACCTGACCACCAGTTTCTACAATCTCTTGGCAACTATTAGTATTAGGAGTTGCTGCTGTGCTTTTTATAAAGGACCCTACCTGTTGGATTTTTTTAAAATATAAATCTTATCATTGAGAATGCATGCAGGAATCCCCCAAAACTCTCAGAGGGACAGGAACAGAGTCTAAAAAAACAAGAGATATCTTTCCCTCATGGATTCAATTGTTCCATGCCTCTCTTCCACTGGACTGTGTAGTGTTCATGTGGAGCACCCCTATTTTCCTTCACCATCATGTTCTCTGTACTGTTTCTTACCTTACCGGTTTCCATGGTTTCTTCTCTTATATTTGACAGTGCTTTTGTATGCATCATGAGACCCACCTCTGTTATATAGTGATTCTGATAAAAACTTAGTGGTCTGGGTTTGTCAATATAACCTTTGTATCGCTTCTCGGTCATACACTGTTTATTTGCCTTACATGTTTGCGCTCTTTGTTATGTAGGAGACATAATCTGCACATATTGCCCTATGTACTTCTACTCATTTATCTAAATGTTTAATAAAGATTTCTTCCTGAATTCTATAATAAGTATGTTAGGGAGTTTGAGACAGTCTGCAATAAAGTTACTCACCTGTTGTCAAAACTAAAAAATATATTGGCAATGCCATACTACATGAAAAAAGTAGACCCTCTCACCACACCTCTTATAACATTGGTCAGAAGCTAAACCAAAGGCCTAAAATGTGAGCTTTCATCTAAATTTGATAAAATATCTTTATTTGGATGACTTTATCTCTCAAGGAGTTTAGCATACAAGTCATCTCAAATTCCTGCCAACTGTCCTCTGCCAGTGTGCAAATCATGGCAAACCACTTGCTTTATACTCTCAACATCTTTAGTAAACCAGCCTCAAGTGTTCCAGGATAAATCACATGCAGGACTCACAATGACTTGACCTTACCCAACAGCTAGCACACACAGAATAATGTATATTGAAAATGTGGATACATCTCTTTTGTGATTAACTGTAATGTTGTTCTAAATAAAACCTAAACTACTGAAAGAAAATGCAATGAGTAAAAAAATGGACAGCAGTTGTACACATGAATGTATAAAACTTATATGAGGGTGATACAACACATGACATCATATGGGTTACATAAAAAATAAACTCATGCGTTTCAAGGTCATTACATGCTCAATGGATATGGAAGTCAACGGACGGCAAAACTCTCAACATGTATGGAGGACACCTGACAGCAAAGGAAGGCCTTTTACCTGGAAAATACCATCATTGAGAGGAGACAGAAAAGCCATGATGTGAAAATAATCAAATAATTGTATGCAGGGTGGAAACCATCACTAAAAAAGATGAGAATATTATTCTTTAGGACTGAAACCCTTCTTTATTTGCATCAGTGAAAGAGGATGATTAAGGCAAACATTTCACAAGCAGGCTAAAATAGTTCTATAACAAAAATATGTTTAAGGTATTTTCCTAATGCCATGTAATGTCTAATGATATAGAAGGTAGATTAAAAGGAGAACTATGAGGCGAGTGCTTTTCACTCACCTCATAGTTCTAGACGACCTGTGACAATGAGACTGTCACAGGTCGGCTACAGCTCGCTGTATACTGAGCCTAGGGTGACAGGAGGACACTAGTTTGTGTCCTCCCGTTACCCTAAGGAGAACTATGGGGAAAAGCCTTAACCCCATAGTTCTCCTTTAAACAATACAGTTCATTCATACACTAAGGCCTTTCTAGTGACATAAGTGCACTATCCCACAACCAGGAAGAATAAGTCATTGTTCTTTTTACTGCCCTCAAAAGAAGGTGAAATCTAACAGGCTGCTTTCTAGCATGACAGTGCACACCGTTTCTGTGCTTGGTTCTATCTTATTACATAAGCCCTCTGCCACTATTGCTACTGAAAAATACTCAAGCTAGTCATTTACAAGGGGAAAAAAACTGCCTACAGCATCTTACAGTAGTTTGGAGGTGGTTTAAAGTATTACCCCATTTTGAATGTTTTACATTTTGTAATGTTACAACTTTTAAGTAAAATGCATTTGACTGGGATTTTCTCACTTTAAGACTTTGAAAGAACAAAAAAACGAGTCAATACATTGTCCAGACCTTAATACATTTTGAAATGTATTAAGGTCTAGGCTATATTTTGAAACTACTTTAGTCTAACTTGACTGTGTTTACGGTCACTACCCTGATTCCGCAAATCTCAGGATTCTTTATGATGTAAACACTTTTGGTCTTGAATACCCTGCATTTGGCTCCATCCATCTTGCCTTTAACCAGCCCTGATTTTTCAGTCCCTGACTATGAAAAGCATCTTCACAACACAATGCTACCATCACTATAAGTCAATGTTAGGGTGGTGATCATTGTTGGCATTGCTTTGTGCCAAAGCTAAAAAGTTGTGTTTTGATTTAATCAGACCAGAACCTTTTTCCACATCTGACAAACTCCAAATGGGATTGGATACAAGTTTTTTTTAATAATGTCTTTCATGTTGTCACTTTTCCATAAAGCCCGGCTTTTGTGAAACATACAGGTTATAGTTGTCTCAAGGACGGTGTCTGCTATCTGAGTTGGGGATCCCTTCATGCTCATTCAGGAGGACCACTGACCCTTTGGTTGCTTTTGCGATTAATGACAATTTAGTTTTGGTGGATGGCATTATCTAAGCAAAGTTGTGGTTGTGCTATATTCTTTCCTTAACAGTGGATATAATGGTGCTCTAGAGGAAGATTTCTTTTTTTCAATAAGTCAGCCCTGATTGGTGCCTCTCCGTAATTCTATCCCACACTTGCCTTGATAGCTTTTTATTATTCTCCATGATGTTCTTTGTTTAAATGCATTCCCCAAACAACTTTGGGGCCACCCAGAAACAGGTGTATATACTTGGGATCATATGACCTTTTAAATAGAGGCAGGTTGATTCCATTCAGCCCATTATGTGACGCTGAAGACACAAACCAAAGCTTATTTGAAAGATTCACAGCAAAGTGGTGAATACTTATATAATGAGACTTTTGAGGTTTTGTAACTATCAATTCTGAAAATGAAATAGATTTTTTTCCGTTTCATAATTACCATTTTTTGTAGATCCGTGGCATAAAATCCCAGTTAAATCTATTCAATTACAAGTTACAAGTTCTAACACTACAAAATGGGAAAAAGTTCTAGGGTGCCGATTACGTTTCAACTTGAACATGGAAAGGCAACAGTTTAAGAAAGGCTTTGCTATTGGTTTATTCTATGGGAGGTGCACCAATATGCAACACATTGTGTTTTAAAATATGCTCATTAATATGTAAAAGTTATTTATTATGCCAAGCGTCATAGTCTTGGGTCCTGCTTTTCCGTTGAGCTTGGTAGAGAGGTTTAGAGAAACTGGAGAAGAGAGAAGACATTGCTTATACCAACCAATAAAATAGTCGAGTCTATTTTCTAACTTTCTTTACAAAACGACTATTCAAATCCAATTGGTTGCCACTGACTATGCAACATTTTTCCTCTCTCCAATCCTTTTTTGTTCTCAGTGTGACTTGGGACAGAAACACTACTATTTAATCCCTAAATGGTGTGATTTTGTGTTTACTCAAATAAGTAATCACCCCAAAAACACCACAATTGATGCACATTCCTTGCAGCCAAAGTGATGTCAATTTTGACAACATTTTCCTTGTTTTGAGATTTTTGTTTGCATTATTCAAAACTTTAAAAGGTTATCCCTATTGATTTCATAATCATTATGAAACAGTATGGGTTAAAGGTCTACAAATAACCAAAGAATCAAAACATATTTATCAAAACTGGAGAAGACAAAATCTGGAGCAGCTGTGCATGGCAATCAATCAGCTTCGCTCTTTTATTTTCAAATCTCAACTGAACAAACTGAAGAGAGAAGCTGATTGGTTGGCATGGGCAATTGCTCCAGATTTTATCTGCTCCAGTTTTGATAAACTCCCCCCTTTGTATACATATAATAATTTAAAAAAATGTATCTATGAATGTATAACAAGTGTTTATTAAAACAGCAGAAGTCATTGTTCCTTGGATATGTACCGTATTTTTCGCTCCATAAAATACGCACTTTTTTTCCCCCAAAAGGAGGGGGAAAATGTGCCTGCGTCTTATGGAGCGAATACCTATCGCCCGACGCCCGGGACATGCAGTTTCGGGCGCCGAGCGAGTAGTTTCTTTTTGTACATTCAGCCCTGCTCCTGACAAGCAGAGCTGAATGTACAGTGGGAGCCGCTGTTCGTTTAATACAAGCGATCTAAGTAGATCCCTTGTATTAAATCGAGCGGCGGCGGCATCGGCGATCGTGTCCGCCCCCCTGCCGAGGTTTTCTGGGTCCCCGTTCCTCTGGGGGACCGTGACCGTCACGATCCCCCATAGGAGCTCACCATAGAGCCCATTGAGCAGATGAAGAACGACGTTCTTCGTCTGCTCTGTGTGATTACTGAGACAGCGCCACCTGTCTCAGCAGTCACGAACTGCAGCTTCTGTGACAGAATTTCTGTCATAGAATTTCTTTCACAGAAGCCATGCGTCCTATCGTCCGGAGCGTCTTATAGACCGCAAAATACGGTAAATGTAATATTTGCCATGGTATTTATCCCCAGCTCATCATATCTCCTTGTATAGGGGACATGCTAACTTATGGTGCCTGGAGAAAGAACAGTCCTTGTGAACATTAACAACAAGATTTTACCTTCATTTTTATGCCATGGTTGCTATAGAACTTTAGACACAGCAACTGATAAAGCCAAAGCACAGCTTTATTCGGTGGCCTAAGCACTTGCTGAGCAGTAAGTACTTGTCAAGCGCAACAAGCTGTCAGAGCTCTGTAAGGCTGATCTGAGTGTACAATTTGTAGCTGAACATACAGCACAAGGAAGGAAAGTAGCATTAATTTGTGAACAAGTTATTTTAAAAAATGCAAGTAGACTATATAGCATGAATAACCCAATGGGAAATGACAAAGGTCTGAGGTATTTGTCTCCACTGAACTTATCAATCATTTTTCACCGCTGAACATGGAATGATGGGCAATGCAATTCAGAGGGACCTGTCACTATAGAGAAAGTTCTAAAGCATACCTGTAAAAAAAAAAAAGACAGGACATAATCCCATTCCCTGCTTGACTTGAGCCTATTGGAAGTATTGGTTTTAGTGTGGACTTCAGCAGTAGATTTCTCAGCACTGGGGCAGAGTACAGTGGCACAGGCAGCAGGAAATGCGAGCATGCCCTGTATTATTTTACAGGTAAGGTTTGCGTTAAAATTTGTTCCTGTTCTAGTGATAGGATCACTTTAATAAAACCTATGCTGAAAGAATTATAGGGGTTGACATTGCTGGCCATCTTCTAATAATGCTAGTTTAACTGGATATCTCTGACTGCAATTTGCTAACATGGAACAAGCATACAATCCTTATCTGCATACTCGCTCCAGGTCAGTGGCATAGAAAGTACTGATGGCATTAGAGCAGCATGACAGACAGGAAAATATATTTTTAGAAGAAGAGGTCGGCAATAGCAGCCTTCATTATTTCTCAGTGTAGGTTTTATGTACAATTGTAGCATGTTACACATTCTTTACAGCATGGTTGCCAAAAAAAAAAAGCTACTAAAATTATAATTGTTGTCTGTATATTTTTATATACAAATGATACAAAACCCAGCTGAAGGACATTACTTACAGCCTTTTGATGCTAGATTCCTGTGGGTTGGGTGCTTTGGAGTTAATAATGGGCGGCATTGTTGGCAGCTTTGTTTCCTCATCTGCTTCTTCGCTGCAAAAATGCAATATTTCAGTTAGGCTGGTGTCATAGGTAAACGTTTAGAGAAACAGTTAGATGGATTATTGCACCTTTGACAACATATAGTATTTATTCACTGGCTGTATTTGAACAATTGTAATAGTTATACCATGGCTATAGTGGAATACATTGTATATGGTAGGCACTCCCTAGTTGTAGTGGTGTTCAACAGTGCTCATTGCCTGACTGTAATGGTGAGAACTCCTTGGCTATAGTGATGCTGGTCACTTTCTAGCTGTAGCCATGTTCACTCCCTGGCTGTTGTGGTGGTCATTCTCTAGCTCAGTGGTTCTCAACCTGTGTAACCTCAGGAGCCACATATGTACTTGGTCATTAAGTTGTGGCCCAAGTCGCACTGCACTGGAATGCACGGCATTGCAGTACCACGCTTTCCAGTGTGGGCGATCAAACTAAGGGAGGGAGGTGTGTTTGGGGTGCCATTCAAATGAATGAGAACGCAGCACACCTCCCACACCAGAACACGTGGTAGGTGCGATTGCACGGTACAGTGTGTTAGGTGCATGGGACTGTGAATGGGCCCTCAAAAACACAGACAGACACATACAACCACAGACATTCTCACACACACACACACATTAAAAAAAAAAAGTTTTTTTTGGAGTAAGATCCACCCAGTCTCCCTAGCTTAAGAGAACTGGAGTGGATCCTCAGCCTGGGGTCCATTGTGGGCTGCGGTGCTGTGACTGAGCTCCATCCATATGTGCATTGCTTGTACAGCTTCCTTGCGCACCCTGTAGAGGTGCCAGGAGCCAAAACGTGAAGTCACTCTGGTCCAAGCACCTCTATAGGGCATGCAAGGGAGCTGAAAGCAATGAATGTATGGATGACGCTCCAAGCCCATCCCAACTCAGGCTGACACTTGGCACCGGGCAGTCTATTTTGATGCACGCTAGGGGGAGGTTGAGGAGCCTCTCACCTAGCGCATTGGAAGGCACGCGGCGACCAACTAAGCATGGGGTTGCAACCCACCAGTGAAGAACCACCGCTCTAGCTTTTTTAGCAGCTAGTTCTGGAGTTGAGCAGTCATCAGTCCCTTGCTGTAGTTGATATTGTGCTCTCTAACTAGACTGATGAACACTATACCTTGTTAAAGCAACTTTGTAGTCCAACAAACCTAATTAGTGAAACATATGCACTGTATAACAGGCATCACATAATATCTGCATTTACCTTCAGTGTTCTGCTCAAACCCCATCATACTCTGCTTCCATATATGAAACAAAAGGTGCACACTGTCCTTTGCTTCCCACTATGCAGCAATCCATTGCATTGCTGTCATTTGCAGCACTATGTGATCTCATACGGGGGGAGGTAGGGGTCAGTGTTCAAGCCCTATGCAAATACCAAATTTCAGAAAATCTGTATTTTCAAGGGCATGTCAGGATGCTTCAGTGGCAGAGTGGGGTGAAGGGCAGTGCTGGAAAGGTATAGATAGGCACCTTGTAATACATGCGTTACAGTTCACATGTTTTTGTCAAAATACGTTGTCGCTTTTAGTTGAGTGATGCCACCTTTGTCTAGTTGTGGTTAATCTTTGTGTCTAGTCAATTAGCTGGAGATGTGTATTATGACCCTATATGATTTGAAAGAAAGCAGTGGGGTAGACTACTAGACACAAGGAATAAAATAATATATATTATCTATAGCCAGGTAATAATCACCATGAATATCACTGCAAGAGCCACATAGTGACTATCAGAGTATTACCACTAGAGCCAAGGAATCAATATAATCTCTACTCAATTGTTTGGTCATACCCACAAGCTTATGGTATGCTCAGTTTGACATTTTCAGCACACGCATTGCAATGTACATTACCAGGATCCCAACTTTTAGAGCCATACCCTACATTTAAAACATTTGTTAGGCTTTGTCTCATCACCTTTTATAGTAAGCAAGCTCCTCTTGCAGCATGAAAACCTTGGATTTCAGCTCATTCCTTTCATGTAAAACATCTCGCAGCTCTTGCAATGTAAACCTGGGCCGACTTGAATCTTTCAGGTCAAAAGACGTTTTGTCTGAATCAAAGATGGGGTCTTCATTTATGGCATCAGCCTGAAGAAAAGATCAAAACGCAAGAATTATATTTATAGCACTGAATGTGTTTAATTATGGTTTAAACAGAGTAAAAGTTTAACATACAAAGCTTTTTTACTACTTTTAAAATGAAAATTCTATAATAGTTCAGTCTATTGGTAGTCAAACCTAATCTTTGTGGTTTCCCACTGCGCCATTACAACAATTAGGAAACCTAATCATTGCTGGAAGCTATAACACTGAAAAGGACATTAAACCCAAACCAGCTTCTAGAACCTACTTCCATTTCTAATAGTTCAGAGATTACTCAAGTGTATTCAGTGCTGATAAGCCCCTTTTACCAATATACCTATTCCAAGCCATTTATAGATGTTATCTTTAATTTAAGCTATATTATTATGTTATTGGAGTTGTGCTGCTTGTAGAAAGTCCATTTAGTGATGCTGTGCCTTGCAAACCACTGTCAGTGTCCGGGGGTTCTAGGCAACAGTAAACTGCAAGATAATGAACACCACTGAAAATGGAACAGGTCGCTGTCTGCAAAATGAAAATGTGAAAAAAGGTGCTGCAGGCAGTAGGACTGCAGAGGAGTGGTAAGGTGACCAATCACCCCGCACATAGTTAGTTGGCTGAAGTGACCAGTCTCGTGGCCAATTATAGGTGCCCATTTCATGATTATAGGCAACGTTTGCGCTCCAATGATATTGCAGAAAGGCATGAGCAATGAAGAAAACAACATATACAGACAAGGTAGAAAATATTGCTTGCCAGAGTTCAGCCTAGGGCCTCATTCACACAGCCGTGCATATATGCACGTATTGTACCATATGCAACATATGCAAATAAATGGCTCCATACACATAGCCGTGTATGGAGCCGTATATTTGCGTATCGTATATATGTGCAAAAATAGATTGGAACCGAGATGCATCCGGCAAATTTTCCATTAGGAATGATAATAGTGCACGCATATAAGCACATACGCTCGTATATACGTGCATAGATGCGTATATACGCAATATACAATTTTGCTTGCGTTATGTGTGAATGAGGCCTCAAAGGTTTTAGGTGAACAAAGCCCCTGTACAAGATTGTACAAAATAAAAAAAATACATCATTCACAGGTTGCACAATACCTTTGAGGCCTTGATTAACTACCTCCCGGCCAGCCGCTGTGTATACACGGCCTGCCGGGAGCTTCTTGGATGTAACTGGGCGTGTATACACGTCCTGTTACATCTGCCCGCTCGGGCGCGCGAGCGGGAAATCCCCGCTATTTGTAAACAGGCAGCGATGCCCGTTAATATACAAGCGATCCGCCGGCTATAGAGCCGGCGGATCGTCGGTAAAAGCTTTTAAAGCGTCGCCTATGGCCAATTTTGGGTATGCTAGTTTTTTACGATTTTGCGAGTGCGCGCAATTTTTACGCTTGACATGTTTGGTGTCTATTTACCCGACGTGACCCCATCTTTTATATTTTACCAAAAAAGTGGGTAATATTAGTTGTTTTATAGCATAATGTAAAAAAAAAATTCTCAAAATTTTCAGTAATTTCTCCTGAATATAGTAAAAAATAAAACCCCCAGTAGTGATTAAATACCACCAAAAGAAAGCTCTATCTGTCCCCAAAAAATGGTATAAAATTAATTTCAGTACAGCGTTGCGTGACAGAATAAATGTCAGTCAAAGTACCGCAGCGCTGAACACTGAAAAATGGCCTGGCCAGGTAGGGTATCTAAACACCTGGTCTTCAAGCAGTTAAAGGAAGGAGAGTGGAGCTTCCAACTCATATGACACTAGGAAGCATTTGTACATAGAATAATGTGCACACTGAGATAAAGATAGAAGACCCCAAATCAACTATACATCTCACAGCCTGTGCAGAGAGTGAACACATCCATAAACAGCGACAGACCTAGGGGCAGCTGTGTTATATCTAATACTCAGTGGCGTAACAACCGGGGGTGCAGCAGGGGCGCGGGCACCGGGCGAAAAGTGAAGGGGGGGCGCCGGCCGAAAATGGCACTTTCGGCTAAATGCCGAAAGTGACATTTTCCTGC